TTTTTTTTAAGAACTGCTGCAACAACAGAAGAACAACAATACTCGCAGTGATCTCACTACTTTCACAAAACTATTGAAAGAGCACTTTCAGCATCACGTTTTAGCGCAGATTTGCCAGCCAAATGCATAAAAAATTTCATTGCATTATACTACAAAACGTTGGGAGCAAAACTAGCAAAACAATACTAGCAGTCAAGAAAAAGTACTGAGCGTCATAATATATATGGATTACAAGGGTTCAATAAGCAAAGCAGACTGACACACACCGAAAAGCAGTCATAAGTGACTTTTGCTGAAAAAAATTTTGTGAAATTGTTTGAAGTAAATAAATTTTTGCTGATCATCTGTTACGGGAGCAGTAGAGTTAAAAAGTTTTACAAGAATTGTGTACTACGAATAAAAATAAAATTTTGGTTGAAACAGAAGCCCTGAGACATGCGAAAGCGCCAAGATGCTGCCTCAGTTGAGGGTTACTTTCAGTCTACTATCATTATTCTTATCGTAACTCTTGATTCCATAAAGATACCACATTGTGATTTCTATATGTTTTGTAGAATTATTTCTTTATAAGTCTTTTTTTTAAGTTGGAATGTTGGTTTTTGAGAAAAAGCGTTTTGAATTTTTGTTTTCATCTTAATCCAAAACAAAATTTGCTAATTTAAGTGTATTACCACTTTTCTGAATCTGCAGGAGACATACTTTCAAATAAAGTACAAATGAGAAAAATCGTGACCATGTCAAAGGTGCAGTGCGTTTTTTTTCAAACTCTAGAACGGTCTAACTGCCACCAGCACACGTTTTCGGTTTCAAAATTCGATATCAAGTGCTACAAGCTGGTGAAAAATGAAAAAATTCTGAGGAGGCGAGGTCCAAACTTGTGCGATTTGACGTGGAATGACCCATAATATGTGACACTTCAGGAAAAGTACGACAAAAAAAAAACCTTCTCCTTCTTGACAAGTTTCTTCTCGGGTTCTTTTTCTTTTTTCGATTCAAGGACGTCTTTTTCTGTCGGCTTCTCCTCTAATTTTGGAGCAGGAATCACTTTGTCAGCAAGTGATATCATTTTTTCACCCATCTTGCGGTACTCTTGTATGGCAATCTTAATTTGCTGCGTATCTTCGATAGCGTTCTACAAAAAAAAAAAAAAAAAAAAAAAAAAAAAA